ACCCGAACAAAGCTGAATGCCATACATGTAAGTACCCGCGAAAACTTAAGAAAATATACGTACACACACACACACATGCATACATACATACACATATATATAGGTCTAGGTGTGTTCGGGTCTTTTCCTGTGTAAGATTAAGAGTATCTTGGTGACGTTTTGGTGAGGTCCCACTTGCCATCCGCAGGCTGGTGCTTTCAACTTTGTGCCAGTGCAAGATGTAACATGAATAAACAGGACGATACCTCCCACCTACCAGACATCTGGAAACTAGCCCTCACCAACAAACGAGTCCCAGCCACAAAAACCAACACCAGACCCAAAACAACACGGGACACCACCGCCAATCTCCCTCATCAGACCCAGGCCCAAACCCATCCTATAAACGAAGGACAACCACCATCCAGAAACCAGACCACAGCTGCTTCGCCAGCTGTTGCAACCCCCTGACCCCAAAACCAAACAAGCTGACACACACCAAGAACACAGACCCAGACCCCAAACTCGAAACCAGACTAAAACTCAGAATGCTACATCACAGCCACCCACTCAGGATATCACATCAGAAAACTCAGGAAATTACTCAAGAACTCAAGAAGTTGCAACATAGCAAATGACCTAGGATATCACAACACAAGACCAAGGATACCACAGCAATAAGGCTCACAAGGTCATCACACAACCCATTACCCAAGCCGTTACTACACAGGAGGCTAATGGAAAAGAGATCAAAACACAAACGACCCAGGAGATTACAATGCAGGACCCAGGACACCACAACAAAAGAACTCGCAAGCCCATCACACAACCCATTACCCAAGCCATTAAAACATGAGAGGATAATGGAAAAAAGATCACTACAAATCAAACGACCCAGGAGATTACAGCACAAGATCCAGGATATCTCCACAACAAAACTCACAAGGCCATCACACAGCCCATTATACCAACATCAACTCCATGAACCAATCAAGAGGCAGCAGCGCAGCCAACCAGCCTAGCACACCAGCCCCCTCCCCCCCACCAGTATTTATAGAGAGACGGCAGCTCCGATCACACATTGTTTGCACTGGCACGAAGCCACTGGCACCAGCCTGAGGATGGCGAATGGATGGCCTGAGGATGGCGAATGGGACCTCGCTGAAACATCGCCAAGATACTCTTAATCTTACATGGGAAAAGACTTGAACAGACCTACACTTACATACCTGTACCCATGAAAATCTACGAATATATATATATATATATATATATATATATATATATATATATATTCTTATTTTTCCCACGTCATTATAGTCTGACAAACCCAATATACAAGCCTGATCATGGCAGGTGAGATTCTGTTGAAACGTCGCTACAACTTTAAAAGTGCAACTATAATGATGTGGGAAAATACCCAAACAAAGCTGAATACCATACATACATATATACATACATACATACATACATACATACATACATACATACATATAGAGAGAGAGGGAGGGAGGGAGAGAGAGAGAGAGAGAGATGGCACGAAGGGGGAAACTATCCTTATAGAAGGGAAGAGAAGAGAAGAGAAGAGAAGAGAAGAGAAGAGAAGAGAAGAGA